TCATCCAAGATGATTAAACATCGTCCTGTATGATTAGTTCAAATCACAGAATATTGGCCAGACTATCGCTCTGAATGGATGGCTGGACAATTGAAAAATAACTTGATCATCCCGAATAATTGCACGATCGTCTAGGATGATTAGTACAAATTTGTGAAAATAGTCCAAAATATCACCCTGAATAGATTCTGTCTGGTATGTGATCGTCCAGGAACAACTAAGGTTTTTGAACTGATCGACCCAGACGATGTGATCATATCAATCAAGCCTTAATTGCTTTACTTAACTACCACATTAATTTAGACATAATTGTATGTATTGTCCAGGACGATGCAAAAAAATAAATAATACTTAAATAGATCTGACGGCTGATTCTTTCTGATTTTAGCATATCGTCCTGGATGTACAAACATCATCCAGAAAGATGTGCTTAATGACAGCTGCCTTAATAAGGATGCCCTAATTAGGGTTTCTATTTTTTGTCTAATCGTCACTCAAAATAGAGAAATCTAATTTAGCAGAAAAAGTCCCCCAAGTGTGTGTGTACAAGGTTACTTCGCATTAGGAACCACATTTATTACAAATAGACTCAAGAAAGGAAAATGTTTACAAACTAACTCAGACCTAGTCTACCCAATCTTGAGCTGGTTTAAATTGTAGTATTGATCGTGTGGACCTGAAATGTTAGTAGGCAAGGCCGTCGTAGCAAAATAGAAGTGTTTGCAATTATCAAAATTCTATTTCTGAAAGCAGATACGCAACAATTGACCCTTAAGGATTTAAACATCCATTTCAATCCATATGACTTATTATAAAAGACAAATAGTGGTTATTATTATCCAATTACTTCACTCTAATACACATAATTTGAGTTATGCTGACTGAAGCTGTAAGATATGGATTGTACAATACAATTAGTTGAATCAGCTCAAGGATCATCATGGACAAACAATGGTTGATCCAATAAATATTCTATTCATTTGCACTGTATGGTTTATATTGACATTACAAATACTAATAACAAATTGATCCTATTTCGATTGCTTGATTTTTAGATGAAGATAGGAAAATTTCATTAATATTCATACAATATGATCAAGATCGTACACTATGATTAGTTCAATTTTTTAAATTATTATTTTTAAAATTTCTAGAATTTTGAGTAGGTATGTATCCAAAGAATTGGTCATCTTAAATTATAAAAAATTCTACAATACAATTAGCTATTTGAATTTTAATTTGTTGAAACAACTAATCGTACAATACGAAAAAAAATGTATAGTATGAATTAATAGAGAAATCAATTGTTCAATTTTCATCTCCACTCTTGAGTGCGTGCTCAGTTGTCTTGCCAACATATACTGACTACATAAAGACTCAACAAAAAAATACTTCATACTAAAAATTTTAATTTTTCTCAGTTTTGGAATTCTTGAGCTCTTACTCTTTTGCCTTGGCTTCTTATGTATTGATTGAAATTTTATCTCCATAAATTTTCAAAAAATGCTCTATGGGAGCACTGTAACGCCTAGTTGGGTTACGGCCCAGCATTGAGCTCTCATGTTTTTGGGAAAATAATTGAGGGCATCGACGCTAGGGTTTTGGGCAACATGGTGTTAGGTCTGAAACTTTATTTTTTTATACAAATATCAAATCAATTTCCTTAAACTTGTCACTTTAGCCATCCCTCCCCCCATTCCCCTTTTCTTGGCAGAGAGAAAAAGATGACAAAAAGGGGATAGAACAAGAGAGGGGGAGGAGAGAAAAAGTTTATTTCAAGTTTTTTTTTTTCTGTCGTTCTAGTTGGAAAAAAAATTCTTATTATGATATGTATCATGAATCTTATTTCTATTTTCAATTATTTTAATTTCTTGAATTTTATCTCTTCTAAAATTAATTTAAATACAATATCTCTCATTTTAATAATTTTCCACTTTATAACTTTTGATATGTGATAGATATCATCATCATGAGTGTTTTGACTAATTAATATTGAAATTTCATAAGATGGTTTCTTTTATATGTCATTTTAATTGAAATGAGTAGTATAATATTATATATAAAATGATCATAAATTAATGTTTGCATTTAGATATATAATACATGATATGCACATATTTATTTTTCATTTAGGTCAACATGCTTTTTTTGCATATTACAGACATACTGCCGAGTATACTAATAATTGTATTAAGTGTATATTATATTTATTATGATGCTTGTGAAATGTGTGTAAATGCAAGAACAATTTGTTGTTAGAAATAATTGACTGATTCAGATTGATAGGAGATATGTTATCTTATACAGAAGGGTGGATCGACTAGTTTTCTTTTAAATAAGATTTATTGTGCAATCCTAAATAATTTAAAAAGGATGGCATAAGGAGATAGATTGATGCAACATGATACATCAATGGGTAGAAAGTCACGACATCTTATATGAAAGCTACCTAACTTTTGATATATGATATGAGACTAATTCTTGCAAATGCATATGATAAAATTGCATAAATAATAGGACATGACATGATTTGTACATGACATAAGATATGATTGATACATGTATATGTTAAGACTGTTAAGATTGATATATGTGCATATGAATCACATGTTATGAATTAAATTATTTACATAATATATAAGTAAATGATATATATGAATTATATGATATACATGATATACTACATTGGTATTGGATATAATGCATTGGATATAAGACATGATATATGCATAGACACTATATAACATGCATATAACAGACATGGAGTGATGAACATTTGTTAATGAAAAGTATCCTAATCTACAACATGATATGGTTTGCTAGTTTGATAGCATAATTGATGTGGGATACACAAAGTAGATTGACAGGGAACAAGGAGACTGAAGATGACAAGCATTCATAGATATTTATAAGTTAAAGCCCCATTATTTAAGGGAGCTATAAGTTCATTGCTAGTTTGATAGCCTACACGTACGCTCTCTCAGCTCCTTCTCACACACGTGCTTTCGCTTGGACCCGGAACCTATGCCTCGCTGCCTTACGGGTCAGCATGTTGGGTCGAGTTGACTCTGATTAGACCCCGATAAAATTCGGGTTTAAAAATCTGACCCATTTTATAAATAGATTCTAATTCAAACCAGAGATGTCAATTTCAAATTGAATCGAAACTCCATCCATAACTCATTTTGACACCACTAAAAAAAGGGAAAATTTTATGACTACGCCCAATTATAAATTTTATTAAGAGCTTAAGCACGATCTTATAAAAATTTAAAAATAAGCAAAATCTCCCGTTAAATGGGAGACTTATGCTTACTAGGCTAAGCTGAGTCAGATAGCCATTATGCTGAGTAGACAAAGAACGAAAAAAGGTAATTAACTATAAGTCGCCCATTAGACGAGCGACTTACTAATAAGTGACAGTTCAGTGTGTGTTGTTATATGAGCATGTAATGATATTTGATGACCTTGGTTCTCCCAAACTTGTATGAGGATACAAATATGCAGTGCAATTGTATACCCATGTTTAAAATAATTTGTATATTCTTATTGAACAGATCATCATGTATTCACCGATTATGAATTTGATTCGGATCACTACAATGAAGCAGATGATTCAAGAGGGTTGTATTCGTTTGAAAGAAAATTTGGAGCTACCCATTGATGAAATTCTTGAAGCAAATGAAAATTTTTGATGTTGCATGCATTTTTTGAGCAAAGATAAAGATAGTACATTGTGGCATATACATGATAAAGTTATGAAAGTTAAGCTGTACAGGGCCGACAATGATCTTAGAAATGTGGGTTGGAGATATCTACAACAGAGGTTCGAGGAGGACACTCAACATTGGGTACCAGTGCAGTTCCTCAAGTGTCTGATTCGTGAGATCAGACGCGACAAGGAAGGTTGTGTAGAGGAGATTATTGAAATCAATGCTCGATCTTGATCATTGTATTCTTTATTACACGTGGCGTCATCGAGAGGATCAATTCTTGTTAGAGTCTCATCGAACCCTGATGGGAGTTCTCCTATCAGGAGTTAAGGAGTTCCTGAATGCAGCAGACTGACAGTATATTTAGCAAGAGTTTGAGAACAACTTCAAATACTGTCCAACTCAGACTCAACTTCAATCGCGGTTACGTATAATAATAAAAAATGTGAGAAATACATTCAAAGTAATGTACATATAATATCGAAATAAGAAAAAAAAAATAATAGAAATAATAATTTAACAACTTAAAATAATTTTTTTAAAAATTATCTCTTTCTAAACACATGTAAAATTTACCCAAAATAGTTACTTCAACATATATTAACTTATTATAACTCATATAACCAACATTACCTAATAAATAAAAGATAAATATATTAAAAAAATTATGTATCCAAGCTTCATCATCTCCATACTAAAAGAACCAAAAAAATACAAACTATTTGCTAACATTCACATCCTAAATGCCACTTCAAATTTCTAGGTAAATTACATCACTTGATCTACAAAAGATTTGCAAAATTCATATCCTAAATGCTTAAATCCCTACTTATCCCAAACAAAATTTGAAATTAATTCAAGTAACAAAGAGATTTACACAAAAGATTAGAGAAACAAATCATAAATAGTAAATCTATACTTCTTTAAGCAAAATAACATTTAACAACATGCGTTTAACTTAATTAATCAAGAAAATATAAAAAAAATACTAACCTTAAATTTTCAGCCGCTGAAGACGACTAGATTAGTGGACGCCTGCAATGGGAGATGAAAGGTGTGAAAGTATATCCGAAAGGAAAATGCAGTTTTTTAATTAAGTCAAAATCGCCCGAAAAACGAGTGACTTATAAGTCACCATTCTAACGGGCGACTTATGCCATGTCACCAAGCCACATCACAATGCCACATCATCTGATCAGATATAAACTGCCATTTAAATAGTTGACTTTGTCAATTTTTAAATATTTTTAATATCGTGCTTAGTCCCTTAATTAACTTTTTAAATTATGCTGAGTTCAAAAATTTGTCCTTAAAAAAAACTCCCTCTAGGCCGGCATCCTATCTACATCCAGTCTTTCGGTCCTTCCAGCCTATTTTGGACATTCTCCGCGCCTCATTCCAAACAGCAGAAAAAAAAAAGGGGGTTTTACATACATACCACTTTATTTTATGCTATTTACATATCTAACACCCAAAACATTAATATTACATGACAACCACCCATAAAACAAATTTAGGTGCATGGAATGAAATATTAAAGTTTATAGGATGGTATGAATGGTAGAAAATGAATTATAGAAGTGGTATATTTGATATTAAAGTTGTATATGAGTGGTATGCATGTAATATTAATGTTTTGGGTGTTAAATATGTAAATAGCATGAAATAAAGTGGTATGTATGTAAATTTCCCAAAAAAAAATGGCACCGCCGGTCTCATTAGCAGACGAGTCCCTCTTCTACGGCGCCGTTCTTGCGATCTACCTCTTCTCCCCCTTAAGCGTCTTCTCGCTTCTCTTCGTCACCGTCCCCTATGGCAAGCACTACCGCGCTGGATGGGGCCCTTCTATTCCGTCGCCAATCTCATGGTTCTTAATGGAGAGCCCAACCCTTTGGCTCTCCCTCCTCCTCCTCCCCTTCGGCAAACATCGCTACAACCCGATTGCCCTTTCCATCCTCTCCCTCTTCTTCCTCCACTACATCAATCGCACACTAATCTACCCCCTCCGGCTCAGCCGCTTCGGCATCTCCGGCGGCCGCAGTGGCCTCCCCATCTCCATCGTCGCAATGGCCTTTGGCTTTAACCTCTTCAACGCATACATTCAGATCCGATCCATCACCCACTACACCGAATACGGTGGCCGGGCATGGACATGCGGGATTTGGACGGCGTCGAGAGTGGCGATCGGGGTCGGGATCTTTTTTTGGGGCATGGCGGTGAACGTTCGGTCAGATCTATCGCTGTTGAGGCTCAAGGCGGAGGGCAGCGGCGCGTACAAGATCCCAAGGGGCGGGTGGTTCGAGCTGGTGAGTTGCCCTAATTATATGGGGGAGGTGGCGGAGTGGCTGGGCTGGGCGGTAGTAGCGTGGTCGCCTGCGGCGTTTGGTTTTGCGCTCTTCACAGCGGCAAATTTAGTGCCGAGGGCTAGGTCGCATCATAAATGGTATCTAGATAAGTTTGGGGAGGACTATCCCAGATCAAGGAAAGCGGTTGTGCCCTATATCTTTTGATCTTTTAAAATCTGTAACTCTTGGCTGTATGGAGAAATAAAATGGATTTTATTTTGTTAGTTGTTTTTTTTTTTTAATTTAACGAGTGAAATTAAATTAATTTAGAATTATATGAAGAAATACATTTTTAAATATAAATTTTCTTGTTGAATTCTAATAACAAAATAAACGCGTTAGATTAACAAAATTCAATTTCTGATTAATTAAAAGAAATTGAATTTTTATTAAATTTTCTCACAACTAAATAATTGGTTTGAAATACATTTTAATTCAAAATATTTTTATTTTTATTTTATTATTTTTTAAACAATAACCTAATTACCATTTAAGCTAAGACTGCAAAATTATGATAATATATTATTCTAAAAATTTGAATCTTCCAATTGCAACATTCTTTACTTTTTATTAGATAAATGATTAAATACATATATGTTTATTTTTGCATTTGCATCTTATATTTGTTTTATAAACATTTTTTTTCGTTGTAATTGATTCATTTACCCATCGAAGTAATATTATATATGTGAGAAAAATTAACGATTGATTTGAATGCTCCTATTTTTGCTATTAAATACTACATAGATAATAGCATATTATTTTGAAATGATAGATATGATATTTTATAATAAACTTAAAGACCAAAATATGATTTTAAAAATTATCATTTTATGATTAAATACAAGAGAATAGCATACTACTTCGAAAGATATAAATGATATTTTTGCAAATGTATTTAAAATAAAAAAATGGGATATTGACAAAATGTCTGCATTTTCAATGATTTTTCATTTTCTTATTGAAATAAGATAAAGTTTAGTTTATTATGAGATCATGTTCTCCATAATGACAATTCATTACAATTAATTACATCTCAAGAGAGACGAGTTACCTGATAATATTTTTTATTGAAAAGTGAATTATTTTTTAGGATATTAAAGTTTATGACAAGTAAAAGAATTTTAGATTTATCAAAAAAGACTAATTCAAAGTTGAGTAATTCTTTCTATAAGTCTATGGATGAAGAGTAAGAAGCACTTAGATTCTAAGAAACTTATAAGTACTTCAGTCTATCCTATATTAGGGTTTATAATTTTGAGAAAAATTCAGAGAGCTGTGGGGTATTCCTAAAAATCTCCAAGCAAAATTGGAGACCCATTAAGCCACGAAGAGGTCATTGGAGCTTGCTCGAATTCACTCACATATGACTCTAGATGGTTGGAGAATTAGTGCACCTAGATGTTCTTGCAATGGAGAGGTTCAATGAATCAATTGTCATACTAGAGATATGCCATTTCAGGGGATATCATAAAAATTCAGGATGCACCTATACTAAATCTGGGCTACTCAAGGTGATTATGGGTTGTTTGGCTGGGTTCAAATGAGTGTCTTTCTGTTGGTTAAAATTGATAAGAGTCTTAGGGTTTACTAGGGAGTTTGTTTAGAAGGTTTAATTGCACATAGTTACTATGGTAGGGGATTTTCTGGCTACCTAAGGGGCATTAGGTGTCCACCTAGCTAATTAAAGGATCTAGAATATTCAAGGGTCTTTTAGTAGGGAAATAGTTAAATGGGCTATATTAGGTTGGAATGAATTTTATTTTGGCTTAGTTCAGTTCACTTTGGGTTTGCCTAATTGGTTGATCCAGATTTAGTCATGGGCTATGCATGTTAAATTAGTAAGTATAAGATTCTAGTAGTTTCGCTAAAACCATGGGAAAGAGGTATTAGGACCTAGTTCACAAAGGCAGGTATAGGGTTTCAATTTGCTAATCATTGTTGAATTGTAAAACATGGCTCACCAAGGATTGGAGAAGGTTTAGTTACGTTCAAAGAAGGGTTTAAAGGTCTTAAGAAATAACCTTGAGGGTGCAACTATTAGTTTTAGCTAGGGAAAGTAATTTTGTTAAGTTTACTATTTTAGATAATTTTAGGTTTAACCATGGACAAAGAAGTTAATCATGGGTTAACAAGCTTAGGAAGGTCCCAAGGTTAGTTCAAAAGGCTTGGAGTCCAAGGCTATGGTCTATATTAACTGAAAGTTTGTGTAGGTTGTTAGACCATATAGAATTGTCTCAATGCTAACCAAGAGGGGGGGGGGGAAGTGGGGGGGGGGGGGGGGGGGGGGTGAAATAGTTATTAAAACAATTTTTCTTGGATTTTCAAAAACCTTTTTAGAAAATTAAATCACTAATTCTAAAACATGTAGTTGTTTATAAAAATGATTATCCATAAAGGATTTTGCAACCTCAAAATTTTAAATATAGAAAATAAAAATATAGAAGAAAAATAAAAATAACAAAAGAACACTAAATTTTATAGTAGTTCAGTCCTACTTGACCTACATCTACTCCCTAGAGACTTCTCTAGGTATTGCACTAAATAATAGTGACTCTCCTTTTGCTCCCACAGTAAGGCGGAGAAGCCTTTACAAACTCTCTTCCACCAACCTAGTGCGGCAGAGAATTGTCGCCTTTGACACTCTCTATGTGATGCAACATATCGTCATATCCTTTTTAACCCTCCTGGTGAAGGCAGTGTACCTAGATCTAATGTTGAAGATCTTCTCCCAAGAGCCTCCAAAGAAGTTAGGCAAAAACTTGAAGAAGATAAATATATCCTCACTTTGGGCAACCTTTGTTAGTCCCTCGAAACTCCCCTTCACTAGATCTCTAACTCTTAACTCTTAAAATTTCTCCCATAAACACTCTCAATGGTCACTCTCAAGAAAAATTTGTAGCAAAAGGATCAAGAGACAGTCTTTAGGACTCTTTATATATATAAGACATGAAAGACTATCCAAAAACTAAAAAAAAAAAAAACCATCTAACATTCATACTGTACGATCATGGATCGTCTAGTATGAACTATTCAAAAAATTAGGGCTTTGTTTGGTACGAACTTGGATGAACCCAATTTCGTACAATGTCAATCGTTTGTATGAATAAAGATTGTATTGTATAAATAGTTCAAAAAAATGTGTTCATTCGATACGGTCTGATACGAACCTAATTTTATACTATATCAGTGGTTTGTATGAATGTAGATCATACTGTATGAATAGTTCAAAAAATAAATGTGTTCGTTCGGTATGATATGGTACAAACCTAATTTTATTGTCTTTCAATCATCTATATGAATGCATATCGTACTATTTAAGTAGTTTAAAAAATAAATATGTTTGTTTAGTACAATCTGGTACGAACCTAATTTCATACTCTATCAGTCAGTTGTATGACTTGACATTGTACATCACGAATAGTTAAAAAAAATTCAAGCCATGATTTGATTAACTTTATTCTGGAGGAAAATTGTCAAATCGTATAATATGATTTGATATTATACGATATGATTAGTCTTAAAGAATTCAATTTAAATTATATCTTGCTCCCCTTGTATGTGTGTGCATGGTTACCTAATTACAATCATACATCCTCAGACTCAAGAAATAAAAATAGAGATATACAAACTGTATTACATGAAATTTTATTATACCCTGTCTTGAAGTCTTCAACAATATGGAGTAATAGGGCTATCAATATTGGACACAACTTGAAACCTGACTTGGTCACGACCCAAAAAAATTTGGGTTCAAGTTAACCCGGTTAGCAAACGAGTCGGGTTCAGGTTCAGATATCTGACCCTATTCGAGTTTCGGGTCATGTTTGGGTCAACCTGGAAACCCTTTTTTGACCCAATTTCAACCCATTAAGTCCGAGGCCTAGGTTAGCTGGTTTGGTAGCTTCATTATTTGATTTATTTCACATGTTGACACTAATGTATTTACTCTTTCAATTTTCAAGTTTGTTTTTCCTCTTCTCTGTTCCATTGCATGCCTTGTCCCTTGCTCTAGCTTCCATTTGTGTTCTTCATGATTCGGTGGTTATTGTAGGCTCGATTTCTAAAGAATCACATGTGATGAATTCAAGTCTCCTTCTTTCCCCTCATAATTAGATATTTCCTCGCCAGCTTCAAATTTTGTTAGCATACATCGACAACCGATAACCCTTTTGGAGATAATGTAGTGATAAGATGATTGCTTGGCAAGATTTATAGAGTCTTTATTATAATTTTTTTAGTTTTCATAAGGTTTTATTTTCATTTTTGAGCTTCTCAAACCAAAACCCTAGGTGATGCGTGCATGATTAACAAACCCTAGAGATGATTTATTACTATTTTTCCTTTATTCTTTATTGATTTTAAAGTGTTTTATTTATATATGATTACATGATTTAGATCTTAATTGAAATCCCTTTGTTGATGTTCGTCCTCCGTTGTCTGTCGTTATATCAGTTTGGACTTTAGGATCTTATACGGATATAACTATTTATATAATGAGGAATGAGGGATTTGATTGACTGGTTTCTTTAGATATTAGGCTTTTATCCATGTATTTATAATTTGTTGTGGACCTATGGTCTTTTACTCTTTTACCTATTTGGTTATTTACATGATTAGCAATGATGAAATGATGGTCTTTTAAATATTATCATGCTATTTATATTTTATATTCTCAAAGCAAAGGGATTAGATTTTAGTAGTAATTTACATGCTATTTACTGTTGTTATTATCATAGCATCATAGCAATACTAGAGCCATGTATTTGTTTGTGATTGAATAGTTTTTTTAAATATTGTTAGAGTCATTGATTGTTGTCTAAAGTATGTGAATAGTTTAATAGTTTATATTTGTATTAACTTTAATAAATATTTTTAAATGGGCTTTGTTAGATGGAGGATTCTAACATAGTTGTTGAAAGTACTCAATCCAATGAGAATGTGCAAGTAGGCAATGCTCCTATTTCAGTTGACATTGAAAATGATGATGATGATTCATGTAATATTGATGAAAAAGGTTTAGATGACCCTACCACGAAGAAAAGAAGAAGAATGTAATCAATGGTTTGGAGTTTTTATGAGATGTTACCCCTTCCTAGTAAGAAAAGATGTAAATATAGAAAATGTGGGGCAATATATCAGTGTGATAGCAATTATGGCACTAAAAATTTAAGATTTAATTTACAAAATTGTAAAAATAGAGACACTCATGATTTTGGGCAAC